TCCTGGCTTGGGTGAATCAACACAATTAAAATGATTGCCCTACCACATGTCCTCTATCTCTTTCATACTCTCCCAATACCAGTGCCTAACAAAATAATGAAAACAATCCAAGCCACATTCAATGCCCACATTTGGAAAAATAAACTGCCAAGAGTGGCTAACCGTCTATCCTGGTTACCCAGGCAAAAAGGCGGTCTGGGTATGCCTCATGTTAAGTTATACCATAAAGCCTCTATCCTGGCATGTGGATTGGCAGCATTGACGCAGCCAAATATTCCGTTGTGGCTCCCCTTGGAAGAGGCATGCATTCTAAACTCCAAATCTCTTCCACTTGAACACCTTGGCAACCAAACCCTTTGATCAGTTCACTGAACTGATCAAAGGGTTTGGTTGCCAGGATGGAGAGTGACCCCAGGGTCTTCACTGAACTGATCAAAGGGTTTGGTTGCCAAGGTGTTCAAGTGGAAGAGATTTGGAGTTTAGAACAAGAACACTTTGAAGACTTGCAGTTGCCAAGGTGTTCAAGTGGAAGAGATTTGGAGTTTAGAACAAGAACACTTTAAAGACTTGCAACCTGTGCAAGGATTACATTTTTCTCTTCAAGTGGCAGCCAAGTGAAGAACCAGCAGGTTCTGTAGTTCAGGATTCCAGATTGGATACAATCTCTTTTGCTAAGCAGAGAGTTGGACATCATTCCCTCCAGAAGAGAACAACCCATATATCCCATAAGCGGGGATCCTATCACTGTACGCCTGTTATACCTATGCTGGCTATAGCTCTCCTAAATGTGAGTTTAATATATATATCCTTCTTCTCACATATCACACAGTCTATACGATCGGTCTTTTCTTTATTTTGTGTCTTCCATATCACAAGAATAATCAGACTACTATAAACAGTGAGGACACCCCACCACCAAAAGCACCTTAAAAGACACTTATCGCCAGAGTGCAATTTTAAACTATCTTAGACTTATGTATATGCACTAATTTCATATATTTGCTTTATCTCTATATGTTTTATCTATATACTTGTTTTATTACCCATAGTCCATATTAACATACTTTGGTGCAGCTTTGCACTACTGTTGTTGTTGATTCAGACCACTAAGTCTTCCTCAAGGGATCTGTCACACTGGGAGGCATACTGCAAGACCCTGATAAGGTGGTATTGGGCTCCATCCAGGCTGGCTAGGGCTTACGGGTCCACATCACAAGTATGTTGGAGATGCCAAAACTCATTAGGTATGCTGAAACATATATTTTGGGACTGCCCCTCTTTGTCCAAGTTCTGGGTTAAAATAAAAGAAGCGATTTGCAAAAGGACACAAGTCACACTTCCATTCAAACCAGAATGCTTTCTATTACATATTGCAACAGTAATTTGGGGCTCACCAAATAAAACAGTGGTACGTCATATCCTGCAGGCTGCAAAAATGAGTTTAGCTAGCCAGTGGAAGGTGGAAATGGTCCCCACGATGCGAGAGGTATGGAAAAGAGTAGACTTGAACTACCACTATGAACAAATGGCTCATAGACTGGAAGGGAAAGAAAAAGTCCACTACGAGAAGTGGAAAAGTTGGGTAGGCTACAATGCACTCTAACCACGGGAAGCGTAATTGGTACAGTGGTGCAAAAGTCTACTAAAATGGTGCACTGCACTTCAAATCCCATGGGGCCATGGCAAGCTGAACACAAAGGATAGGGACAGAATATAGTTGAGAGTGCACAAGGTGCAATACACCTTCACGGTAGTAAGAGCTACACTATAATACTACTCCCCTTTACCCCTCTCTGTTCTCCCCACCCAGGTTGACAAATATTGACACACTTACAACTGGGCAGAGCATGGTCTTGGAATACTCTACATCTCACCGCAGGGACGTATTCTATGCATTAGCATGTAACCAGATGGAATACTAACACAAGCAATAATATGCAGTATAAACTCCAGAGGGGGTACTAGCACTATGCTAAAATGACACACTCCGAGCAAGGACAAACCAGATACACGAATGTTATTGTCTAGTGTTCCCTTACCCGGATATGGACCTCCAAGACAACAAAGCAAATTAGTCCCTTTCTTTCCACTTTTCCTTTTTTCCTCAATCTACACTGAGACACTGATGTATACATGTTTATACTGCCACAGGTTGTTAACAAATATGTCATGATGTTATAACTGCTGAAAACTCCAACGTTATTTGTGTAAAATGCCACGAAGACCATGTATTAATGTCATGTTATGAATATTGTCAACTGTATTGTTAACATTATTCTGAATACCTTTCAATAAAAAGAGACATTTGAAGAAAAAAAAATGTAAGAGAGTTTTAGGAACACACAATACAAATTGGCCAAAGCTATCTTTGATCAAAAAAAAAAAGCGTTGATTAAATACATATTTCCTCCAGGTGAGGTAATAACTGCCTTCTCAGAAAGAAAATTATACAAATCAACCATCTGCAGTTGTGAAGAATTAAATGTAATTGAGAAAAAAAAATTCTTGGATGGGGAGAATTAATATGATTAAATCCTATTTGCTTCCTAAAATACTTTATTTTTTCAGAATGATTCCTATTCGAGCCCCCTATAGGACACTAGAGAAAATAAATAAGCTTTGGCTTTCCTTTGCTTGGGGTGGGCAAAAAAAATAGAATATATCAAAATACAATTAAAAGAGATTGCTCTCAAGCTGGACTAGGTTTTCCAGATTTAAGTTTATTACATGACATTTCCATGTTTACACATATTCTTGCATGGAACATTAAACAAGATAAATATAGAATGATTTAAATGTGAATCCTTACTGATTAAAGACATAAATCTGTTCCATTTATTCTGGGTCAAATCTTCATTAGTGATCTCTAGTATAAGTAATAATCCAGTGTTTAGGGGTGCAATAAAGACCGGTGCTGTGATCAGATCAAGAATGGGAAATAATAATTATTTTTCCTCCGCCACCCCTATTACGGCTCTTATATACTATATACAGGATATTGATTTATTTGGCTGGATAAATAAAAACATTCTTACACTGGCAGATATTAGACTTAATGGTAATATTTTGACATTTACTGAAATTCAGTCTAAATTCTCCCTTACAACTAGAGAAATATTCTCTTATCTTAGAATTAAAAACTTTTTTAAGAAGCACAGTAAAGGAAGCAACTGTACAAGATGACTTTATCAGTAAAAAAATACTCCATAAAATTAATCTCTAATTAATCCAATCTAATTAATCTCAAGCTAAAAACTTAATTGTTAATTATCAAGAAACATGTGTAACCCCCTCAATTGTAAAATGGGAATAAGAAAAATTAACTACTCTATTCAGAATTGGTATGAAGGAAAGACATTAGCTAGGAAGAGCGTTCATTCCATTACACTGCAAGAAACATATTTTAAACTACTACATAGATGGTATTTAGTTCCCTCCCATATCACTAAGTTCGATAGAAATGCACTGGACCAATGCTGGAGATGTAACTTAGAGAGAAGTACTTTTCTTCACATCTGGTGGGAGTGCAATGAATTGCAGGAATTTATTTTTAAAACAGATATTTCTTTAAACCCAAGTATCTGGCTCTTTCACTTGGGACTTCCAAAATATAAAAGTACCCTCATGTTAGCAATCACTATACTGCTTACTATTGAATTAAATATCGCAAGAGAATGGCTCAAACTTAATTTTCCATCTTGAGCAGAGCTCACTGATCAAATCTCCTACCCAGGGAAAATGGGAAGATATTGAGATTGCATGTTGTGATTTTTCACAACTACGTAACAAATATTTTGATGTTTTATCATATATTATTGTTATTATTTTCTTTAGTCTGTTATTGTGATTGTGTAGGTGTATCATATGTAATGAAAAAAATTCAATACATTATTTTCAACAAAAAAAAATAGAAAATGGAATGTCTGCGTGGTTCATAACTTTAAATATGGCTTATTATGGATGATTTGAAATAGTCTAATAAAAATATTTTATAATGGCATGCAATTACTGAGACAATAATATTAAAAAGCAAAATGAACATCTTTAAAAGGTATGTACCAATTAGTTATTTGGCAAAGCAGTTAAATGCATGCATAATCAAGGCACGTTGACATGGAACAAAGTTGACAGACAATATTATTTTATGTACATGTTTGCTACTATGCATCTAGTAAAAACAAAGATAATACTCAAAAAGGTAAACATGTAAAACAAATTTGCAGTAAATTATTAAGCAAAAAATGTTTTATATCTTTAACTCCTTAAGGACACATGACATGTGTGACATGTCATGATTCCCTTTTATTCCAGAAGTTTGGTCCTTAAGGGGTTAAATAGTCTATTTAGAGCCCATTACCAACACAGCTGCAATAGCTAACAAAATTTGTTATTTTTATCTAAGGTACTCATTTGCTTGCATCTTTTATTTCCTAAACTGTAAATGCTTATATCGCTATAAGAACAAAATAATAATTTTTAAAGGAAATATGTGTACGTAAATTTTAGTAATCTTTTTAGTAATCTTAATGTACTATTAAATATTATGCTCGTTTCAAATATACAAATATAGGAATATCTTTGGATTGTCTTTAGAAAGACTTTGTTATTAATGAATTTAAGTTTTGTACTTTTTTTTGTATTTTATTAATGACATCATTTTGGCGCCAAAATTTGAATTCACACATGCTCAAAGACTCTATATAAGTATCTATGTACCAGGTTGTTTCTCTTTTAATGCCAGTTGATAAAGCCCTGTGTGGTGAAACGCGTTTTGGCTGTTTTTTATTGACATATATTTTTATTATTAATAAAGGAATATTGGCCCTTTTTGTAGCCTTTATATACCTTTTATTATTTTATCCTTTGTTTTACACCTGGTTAGTAGTGATGTCCCGAACGGTTCGCCAAACGGTTTGCCACGGACGGTGAACATATGCGCTGTTCGGTCCACCCCCTATTCGTCATCATTGAGTAAACTTTGACCCTGTACCTCACAGTCAGCAGACACATTCCAGCCAATCAGCAGCAGACCCTCCCTCCCAGACCCTCCCACCTCCTGGACAGCTCACTAAGAATGCAGCTTCAATGAATGTAAATGGATGCTGTCCAGGAGGTGGGAGGGTCTGGGAGGGAGGGTCTGCTGCTGATTGGCTGGAATGTGTCTGCTGACTGTGAGGTACAGGGTCAAAGTTTACTCAATGATGACATAGGGGCCGGACCAAACAGCGCATATGTTCGCCGTCCGTGGCAAACAGTTCGGCGAACCGTTCGGGACATCACTACTGGTTACCTGTTATATTGGAGCACGCTCTGCCCAAGAATCCTAGGTGGGGATAGTACCACCTATGCCATCATATTGAGCAGTACATCCTGCTCATATTTATGTGAGTATTTTACCTCTTTTATTTATTTGCCTTTCCATAAATTGAGTGAGCACTATATATCGCCTTTTATCTCTCTACATACCGAGGAGCTCTTCAAAATTTCACCACCCATATCCTACCAGTGGGGGATTGACGCCACTGAATGCTACGAATACTTGAGCTAGTCCATGCTCTTGAATAGGTGAGTGAATCATCTGCTTTTTGATTTATACTTATATCCACATATCTACAATTGAACCGAGACATCTCCAGCACCAGAAGACCCAGCAACTTATTGGACTCACTTCACATTCAAGCACTCTACAGGTTGATTAAATAAGATACCAGTATTGGGACTATTATTTTTATCTATTTTACGTACACATATTTCCTTTAAAAATTATCCTTTTGTTCTTATAGCGCAACCTATATACCATTTTCTCTTTAATTTATCATTAACTATTCATATATGGAACATAATTTACTATGAATAAAATTTAAAAAAATGTGAGAAAATAAGATTTTTAAAAAAATTTGTATTTCTGTCTGACATTTTAGCTGTGAATGTCATAATACTGTTTGGCTTTATTGCAAAAAAAATGCACATATTTGTAATCAGTGATGTCTCACGAGTACAACAGTACCTCCCATTAACAGGTTTTATGGTGTTTTGGAAAGTTACAGGGTCAAATATAGAAAGTTCCATTTTCAAATTGAAATTTGCCAGATTAGTAATGTTACCTTTGAGATGGTGTGGTAGCCCAGGAATGAGAATTACCCCATAATTGCATACCATTTGAAAAAGTAGACAACCCAAGGTATTGAAAGTGGGGTATGTTTAGTCATTTTTAGTAGCCACTTAGTCACAAACACTGGCCAAAGTTAGCGTTCATATTTGTTTTTGTGTGAAAAAAGCAAAAAACTAATAGTTGGCCAGTGTTTGTGACCAAGTGGCTACTAAGAAAGACTGAACATACCCCACTTGCAAAACCTTTGGTTGTCTACTTTTGCAAATGGTATGCCATCATGGGAGTAATTCTCATTCCTGGGCCCTAATACGCTCTTAAAGGCAACATAACCAAGCTGGCAAATTTCAATGTCAAAAAAATGAAATGCAAGCCTTATATGTGACTCTCTAACTTTCCAAAACACCATAAAACCTGTATATGGGGGGTACTGTTATACTCAGGAGACTTCACTAAACACAAATATTAGTGTTTTAAAACAGTAAAACATATTACAACAATAATATAGTCCATAAAAGTGCTGTTTGTTTGTAAAAAATGCAAAAAACGTCACTTTTACTTAAAATATCATCGTTGTAATACAATTACAAGTTGCGAAGTCTCTTGAGTAAAACAGTACCCCCTATGTACAGGTTTTATGGTGTCTTGGAGAGTTACAGGGTCAAATATAGTGCTTGCGAATTAAATTCTCTGCACTTTATCCCTGTGTTGTCAGGCATGTCAATCAAATTTTAATTATGTTAAAAGATTACTTAAATATACACGTAGAATTTTAATATATATACATTTATAGGTATTTAAATTCTACGTGTATACTAAAGTAATCTTTTATATAATTATATGTATTTATCTATATATATATATATATATATATATATATATATATATATACATATTTGCTGTTATTTGTATTTTATATATAGATAGATATATACTTTGCAAGCCCATTCCTTCAGTGAGCAAGCCTGATCGTCTGCAAAGCCTGATTCCCCAACTTTGCAAGCCCATTCCTTCAGTGAGCAAGCCTGATCGTCTGCAAAGGTAGCCTTCTGGAAGACCACACTAAGACTCTATCCTGCACACCTTCATTTATTTTTAACTTAACCACCCTGTACATTTATTTTAATTTTATTTAATATATCCTGTGTACATTGTATATTTTCTTGTTTTCTTGTATTTATATCTTGTCTGTTATGCTAAAGTGTAGTTTTGCTAGCCCTGTATGTAATTGTTTTATTCACCTATATGCATTCCTCTATTTCCCCTCTGATTTGATACTCACCTTTGACCCCTCCCTTTTCTTATTGAAATGTTTGTTTTTATTTGAATATCCATCTCTTCATCTCTGTACCTAGATACATATCCCCCTCCCTTACCTTTATTGCAAGCTCTCTGACCCTCACATCTCTTTATTCAACAGCCTGATTCGCCAGCTTTGCAAGCCCATTCCTTCAGTGAGCAAGCCTGATGCTCATTATTACATTTATAGATTGTCTGTCACGCCTACATTTTAGTTAGGTTAAAAAAACCTGCCTCTTATTATTACACTCCTGCACTTTCTTAACACATAAAACATCTTCACCTGCTCTTGATATTTCAATTATCTCCAATTTTTATTTTTCACAGTTTAGCAATGATCTGTTTTCTCCTCCTCTTTATTTCCTCAGTCTCCCTCAGTATAAAAATCTCTCCTTACACTCACTTCACTCATCCCCCCATCCACATTTACATATGCACTTCTCTGCTACACTCCCTCCTTCTCTCATTTCATGCATTACACTCATTTTTCTACTCTCTCACTCCAACCCACAATCGATTTCATCCAAGACCCCATGCATACAAAACCCATTCACACCTTTCTCTCCTCCTACTTCTAGCAGCTGGTGATGTCTCTCCCAATCCAGGGCCCTTCACTTTCTCTATACACACTAAGACAACCAGAAACCCCACAAACCTCATCACAATACCCTGCCCTTTACCCTCACTTACCAAAATTAATTGTTCACTCTGGAATGACCGCTCCATCTGCAGTAATTTAAAATCAACAACCATACACGACTTTTTCATCTCAAACTCACTCACACTGCTTGCACTTACAGAGGCTTTCCCCCTCTGATAGCGCTACTCCTGCCTCTTTATGTTTTTGGTGGGCTACAATTCTCTCACACTCCCAGACTCAACTGTAAAGGAGGTGGCGTAGGCATCCTTCTCTCCCCTCAATGTACCTTTCAACCAATCATAACTCCCCCTGCCCTATCCATTTCTTCTTTTGAAGTTCACACTGTCCGCCTATTTAAACCCACTCCTTTAAGAATTGTTATTGTCTACCGCCCCCCCATCCCCCCCGTTTATCCTAGACTATTAATTGAGCACTTTTCTTCCTGGCTTCCCCACTTCCTCTCATCTAGCACTCCTTCCCTTATACTTGGGGATTTCAATAACCCCAATTGCACTGATGCCTCTCGTCTGCTCTCTGTAACCTCCTTCTTTGGCCTTACACAATGGTCCAATTTAGCAACCCATACAGCAGGAAACACTCTTGATCTTGCCTTCACCAACCTCTGTACTGCTTCTAATCTCTCTAATATTCCTTTTCCTCTATCTGACCACCATCTGCTGACTTTTGACATAGGTATAAATAAAAACAAAGGTATGCCAAAGACCCAATTGACACTACCGTCTGAACATCACTCTCACAGAAACCTCCAATGTCTTGACCTAGAGCATTTCTCCACTAATCTCCAAATTCTCCTTTTACCTATCTCAAACCTCACCTGTCCTAGTTCTGCAACCTCCTTCTACAATTCCACCCTCTCCTCTCAACTAGACATCATGGCACCTTGTACATTTAAACGCCGCAGGCCCCCACAACAACAACCCTGGCACACCAAGTTCACTTGATACCTCCAAAAATGCTCCAGAACTGCTGAACGCTGTTGGAGAAAGTCTCACTGTGCATCTGATTTTCTCCACTATAAATTTATTCTGAGCTCATACAGCTTGGCTCTTTCCTCTGCAAAAGTTAATTACTTCAATACCCTCATAACCACACTCTCCCGCGAACCCAAACGACTATTTGACACATTTAACTCTCTTCTTCGCCCTGCTGTTCCTCCTTCATCTACTAACTTGACCACCTCAGACTTTGCAACTCACTTCACTGACAAGATATTACAATACTTCCCCTAACTTCACTCCCTCTGCTGTTCTATGTTCATTCGCACTCGCTTCATTTCTGCTCTGCTCCAGTCCTCCCGCCCCACCACCTGCTCCCTAGATCCAATTCCCTTGCATCTTGTCAGGATTACTGTTTGATCCAGCACGTAGAACTGTACAGCACGGATGACAAATAAGTAACGTATTACCGGTCCTTAGAATGGCCGGATTTAACGTACAAAGAATAGTAAAAAATACTAGCCGAGGTCAGGGAACACAGAAAGGGACACAGCGATGAGGAAAGCCAGGAGTCAGGATACCAGAATATAGAGAAGTCAATAAACAAAGCCAAAGTCAAAACCAGGTAGAAAACTATAAACAGGAACGCGCTCTCAGACAACCACAAGGGAAACCACGACAGGGCACTGAGCAGGCTGAGAACTGGGCCTAAATACCCCTCCTTTAGTTCTGATAGGCTGTAACCGGCCTTTGACCCCAAAGTCAGTTACCAAGTTTCATTTGCATAATTGCTGCTCAGCATTAACCCTTCTGTGGATTAGGTTGCTGCTCGGCACAACTTTTCCTGTGTGGACAGTAAATGTCATTAACCACATTTCTATAAGCGGATGAATACGTGACATTACCCCCCACCTGAAGAACGCCCACCGGGCGGACAGGACCAGGCTTGAGAGGAAATTTAGAGTGAAAAGCGCGGATCTTACGGCCCGCATGCAGGTCAGGAGCCGAAACCCAAGAACGATCAGCAGGACCGTAACCTTTCCAAACAACCAAGTACTGTAAAGTGCCCAGAGAAAACCTAGAATCCACGATAGAAGATACCTCATACTCTTCCTGACCACCCACCACCACCGGAGGGGGAGGAACACAAGGAACAGTATAT